GTATTAAAAACAATTCAATTCTTATCATTAATTTAATTAAAATTTTTCAAAATAATTGAATTTCTTGAGAAGAATTTTAGTAATAATTGAAAATAATTGAATTCTTACGATAAATTTGATGAATTTTCGAAAATTATTGATGTCATGCGAAGAGTTCAATTATTTTTGGAAAATAATTCAATTACTGTGAAGAATTTTATTAATTTATAAAAAAAATTACTGTCAAGAATTTAAAAGTTTTTAAAAATAATTGAATTCTTGTCAAGAATTTTATTAATTTAAAAAAATAATTGAATTCCTGTGAATAATTTTATTAATTTTGGCAGATAATTGAATTTCTGGGTAAAATTTTTTTAAACGTTTTGAAAATAATTGAATTATTACAAATATTTTTATTAATATTTGAAAATAATTAATTTCATAATTAAGAAGAATTTTATTACTTTTGAAGATAATTGAATTTCTGCGAAGAATTTTATTACTTTTGAAAATAATTGAATTTCAGAGAAGAATTTTATTATTTATAAAGATAATTGAAACTTCGACAAGAAATTTATTAAAATTTTTGTTAGGTAAATAATTGAATTTCGGGGATGAATTTTATTATTTATAACAGATAACAGATATGTATCTGTTGTCGAGAAATGTGATTTGTTGTAAATTTATGCGAAGTTTTGAATAATTTAATTCAGAAATTAGTGAATGGTGTCAGGAAAATACAAAATTTAATTTTTGTATTTTTTTTTTTTTTTGTCAAAACAGAATAAAAGAAACGACTTTTTCAACTTTTTTAAAAATATTTTTAATTTCCAGGAAAGCAACTTTTTTTGCGCCTTAAAGTCGATCCGAGTTGTTCCAGGTGAATGCTATTTAATATTATAATTAATTACCTAGTAATTAATTAGTCTGAAATTAGTAATTAAATATTAAATAAAAAATGCATTTTCTAGAGTTTATTTTAATTATACAGAGAAATAATTACAAATGGTCTTAATAGTTAATTTCATAACAATAAATGATAATATTATTATATTAAAATGACGAATAGACGTTAAGCAAACAAAGAAATTCTTGTTTATCAATTACCGATAAATATATTGTTTAAATGAAAATACTTATAATAACACTCTCGTGGGTATAAACATTCGCACCTGTGCTAATACCACTACTGTGTATACTGTATAGTTTCCTAGACTTTCACCGCTCGCAGAGATTGAAGTAATTTATTTGATAATTATTCTCATCCATGTAATTGCATTCCGTTATGTAAATGAGTTCTCCATTAAATTTTTATTAGAAATTTATTGTGATAATTGCAATAATTGAATGAAATTAAAGCACTAAAAAAATTTCCAAATAGCAAGAATTTTATATATATATATATATATGTGGCAGAATATTAAGAAATTATGGAATGTTGCTAATTTTTTTATTGAATTTTGTAAAATTAAATTAATTGGAATATAAATCAAATGGCAAATAATTACTTCCTTCTTTGTATTTTCAGGGCTCGGATTGTCTTTAAGACTCAAAAAAAGTCGCTTTAGTCGCATAAATTTACAAAAAAGTCACAAAAAGTCGCATAAAATTTCCAAAAAAGTCGCATGAAATTTTAGAAAAAACGACAAAAAAATCAAACAATGAGCAATAAAATTTTTAAAAATTAAATAAAATTCATAGCAAAATTTTAATTAGGTATTTTTAACATTTTTTTAAAAATTCTCTTTCAAATGTCAATTATTTTTATAAATAATAAAATTCATCCCCGAAATTCAATTATTTACCTAACAAAAATTTTAATAAATTTCTTGTCGAAGTTTCAATTATCTTTATAAATAATAAAATTCTTCTCTGAAATTCAATTATTTTCAAAAGTAATAAAATTCTTCGCAGAAATTCAATTATCTTCAAAAGTAATAAAATTCTTCTTATGAAATTAATTATTTTCAAATATTAATAAAAATATTTGTAATAATTCAATTATTTTCAAAACGTTTAAAAAAATTTGACCCAGAAATTCAATTATCTGCCAAAATTAATAAAATTATTCACAGGAATTCAATTGTTTTCAGTACAAAATTTTCTTCGCGGAAGTTTAATTATTTTAAGGAATTTTAATAAAATTCTTCGCAAAAATTCAATTATTTTCAAAATTTGATTGAATTTTATGCGGAAAATAAATTTTTTTTCAAATATTAATAAAAATCTTTGCAAGAATTCACTTATTTTCATAACTTTTAATAAAATTCTCCACAGAAATTCAATTATTTGACAAAATTAATAAAATTAATCACATGAATTCAATTATTTTCAAAAGTAATAAAATTCTTTTCTGAAATTCAATTATTTGCAAGGAATTTTAATAAAATTCTTGTCAAATTTTCAATTATCTTTTTAAATCATATAATTTATCCTATAAATTCAATTATTTTCAAAAGTAATAAAATTCTTTGCAGAAATTAAATTATTTTTAAAAATTTTTTTTTATAAATTTCTTGGAAAAATTTCAATTATCTTCAAATATTTCCCTGAATTCAATGATTTTCAATACTTACTATTTTAATAAAATTTTCCAAAATTCAATTATATTTTAAAAAAATTAATAAAAATTCGTTGTAAGAACTCAATTATTTTCATAAATAATAATACGATTTTTCATAGGATTTCAATTATTTAAAAAAAGAAATATAATAAAAATTCTTTGCAAGAAATCAATTATTCTCCGAAATAATTAAATTTTTCGAACAAATTCAATTATTTTCAATATAATTTTAGTAAAAAAAAATTCAATTGTTTTCAAAAATTTTAATAAAATATGCAAAATTTCAATTATTTTAATAAATAATGAATTTTTCGCAAAAGAATTCAATTATTTTCTTAAATAATAAAATTCTTCGTACAAATTCAATTATTTTCATAAATAATAAAACACATTGCAGAATTTCAATTATTTTGATAGTCATTCTTTTTAAGAATTCAATTATTTTCATAAATAATAAAAAACATTGCAGAATTTCAATTATTATTTAAACAATTTTAAAATCGAATTCCTCGAAAAATGTAATTATTCTTAAAAAAAATTTATTAAAATTCTTTAAAAGAATTCAATTATTTCGAAATTTATTAATAAAATTCTTTATGAGAATTCATTTTTAAAAGATTTAATTATTCAATAAATTATTTATCAGTTTTTTTTATAATTTAATTCTCGTAGAATTTTCTCAGAAAATTTGATTTAAAAATAAATTTTAGTTAAAACTTCCGATAATAATTAAATATTAAAATTCAATTATTTAAAAAAATTTCAATTACATATTTCCGAAAATTCATTTAATAACTTTTCGTAGATATTTGAATTTTCGATAGTATGGAATTGAAAATAATTGAATTTTGAAAAATCGTAATTAAAAAATCTGACAATTACTTTTTAAAAAAATATTTAAATATATTTTTTTGTAGCTAATTTCCACTTGAAAATATTTCACCATAATTTATGAGAATTCAATTTTTTTTTAGAATTTACTATTAAAATTCCTCGAAAATGTAATTATTCTTTAAAAAATTTATTAAAATTCATCAAAAGTATTCAATTATTTTCAAAAATTTTAATAAAATTCTATACGCAAACCTTTAATTATTTTCTTAAATAATAAAAAAAACACAATGCAGAATGTCAATTATTTTTAATAGAATTTTAATCGAATTCCTTGAAAAATGTAATTATTTTTAAAAAAATTTATTAATAAAATTCTTTATGGTAATTCAATTTTAAGCAACATTCAATTATTCAATAAATTATTTATTAATTTTTTTGTATAATTTAATTCTCGTAGAATTTTCTAAGAAAATTGGATTTAGAAATAAATTTTAGTTAAAATTTTAGATAATAATTGAATATTAAAAGCATTATTGCGTGAATTTTTAGAAATAATTGAATTTTAAAAAGGTTTCAAATTAAATTCTTTAAAAATCTGAATTTTTCATATTTTTTAACTAACAATTCTGTGAAAGAAATTTTTTTTGAGAAAGTTGAATATTGCGGATTTTTTAAAAAAATTATTCAAAGCTTTTATTTTCTAATATGTATTTCGTAGACAAATTTCAATTATTCAATTATTTTCAAAAATAATATTTTTCGCAAAAATTAAATTTTGTTCAAAAATAATAAACTTTTTCTCAATAATTCAATTATTTTCGGAAAATAATAAAACTCATAGCATAATTTCAATTATTTTTAATACAATTTTAATCGAATTTCTCGAAAAGTGTAATTATTATTAAAATTTTTTATTAAAATTCGTCGAAAGAATTCAATTATTTAAAAATTTATTGATAAAATTCTTTATTGGAATTGAATAATTGTAAGAAATACTTATTCAATTATTCATTTGCATTTTATTTGTATATTTAAATAATTGAATTCTAGTAGAATTTTTTAATAAAAATTGATTTAAAAATAAATTTTAGTTAAAATTTTAGTTAATTGAATATTAAAAGCAATGTAGCGTGAATTTTTAGAAATAATTGAATTTTGAAATTAATTTTTTTGAAAAAGTTTAATTTCGAATTTTTTTATATTATTTGCTCTTTTTATTTTCTAATGTATATTTAATTGAAGAATTTACGAATGATTGAAATTTCGTAAAATTGAATATTGTAAACAAATGGATTTGAAAATATTGTCAAAGAACTTTTTCGAAAATTATTAAAAATAATGGATTTAAGAATTTTAGTTAAAAATTCTTGAAACAACTAAAAATTTTGCTAATGTAGGGAAATTTGTAACTATTTTAGAAGAAACATTTTTTATTCTTATTTGGTTCAATAAACAATTATCAATTAATGAAATTAAAAAAATGTAAAAGTAATATGTATACTCTAAATTATTTTTACTAATTAAAATTTCTAGATTTGTCTTTAAATTAAAAAAAAAATTATTTGTCCTTGGCAACGACAACTTTTACTTTTAGATTTTAAGCACAATTTATCAGTTCACATACCGATGACGCTTATTTCCATTTACTATCACAAATTATTTGGTATCTTCGTTGCACAATTTGGCTTAGGAACATTTGCCAAAACTCGCCAAGAACAGCTGACTTGCAAGCTCTATTGATTTTTATGCGAGAGAATCTTTTAACACTGATTGAAAATTATTATTTATTAGTAATAAATAATAATTATTTATTATTTACAGAATAAATTTTACTAAATTTAAAGTATATTTTACTAATTTTTAATTAAAATTTACTATTTATAAAATTTACTCTGGAAATAATGATTTTTTAACACCACAATTTACTATTTTTAATGTTAATTATTTTTTTGTAAAAATTATTTAAATTTCCCTTGAACATTACAATTTGCTATTTAAAATTATTTTTAAGTAAATTTTAGCTACTAATTTTAAATTAAATTTTTCTAATTTTTTTCTAAAATTTAGTTCGTATCTATTAAAATTGAAAATAATTAAATATTTGCGTAGAATTTTATTAAAATTTTTGAAAATAATTGAACTTGAGAACAATTTAATTATTTATAAAGATAATTGAAATTTTGAGAATTTAAAAAAATTTTTAAACATAATTGAATTTCTGCGAAGAAGTTAATGGAAATCTGTGAAAATAATTTAATTCTTGCGAACGATTTTATTAGCATTTTTTAAAATATAATTGAATTTCCAAGAAAAAATTTATTACTTTCAAAACTATAATTGAATTCATTTCTTTCAACTAATTTTATGTAAATTCTAATTTAAATAATTGAATTCCTAAGAAAGTTTCATTATTCATGAAAAGAAAGGAATTCTTACGAAGATTTTTACAAAAAACTGTTTTAATAATTGAATTCTGTTTGGAAATTTTATGAAATTTTTATTTTTTAAATAATTGAATTCTTGTGATGAATATTGTTATTTATGAAAATAATTGAAGTTAGCAAAGAATTTTATTAAAATGCCTCAAAATTATTGACTTTTCCGGAATAATTTTGTTATTTATCTTTAATAATTGAATTCTTGGGAAGAATTTTATTAAAATCTAAAAGAATAATTGAATTATTTCATAAAAATTAAAGTTTTATTTAAAATAATTGATTTCTTTCGAACAATTTTATTAAAATATTTGAAAATAATTAAGTTCCGATGAACAAATCTAATATTTTTGTAAATAATTGAATTATTTCAAAGAATTTTAAAAAAACATTTTTTTTAAATAATTTATTGACTTTTCCCTGGAATTGAAATTACATTTTTCAAAATAATAACATTTTTTTTAACATTTTGTAAAATTGTGTTGAAAATAATTGAAAAATTCTGCGATGAATTTTATTATTTATGAAAATAATTGAATTCTTGTGAACGATTTTTTTAGAATTTTTGGAAATAATTGAATTTTTAAGAAAAAATTTATTGCTTTTAAAAATAATTGAATTCTTGGGAAAATTTTTTATTAAAATCTAAAATGATAATTTAATTATTTAAAATAAAAAAGTTAATTAAAATTATTTTTAAAATAATTGAATTCTTCCAAAGAATTAAAAAAAAACATTTTTTCATATAATTAATTTTTTTCGAGGAATTAGAATTAAATTTTTTAGAATAATTACGTTTTTTGAGCAGTTCCTGTAAAATTGTATTAAAAATATTTGAAAAATTCGGCGATGAATTTTATTATTTATGAAAATAATTTAATGGTTCCTAAGAATTTTATTAAATTCTTCAAAAATAATTGAATTCCTTAAAAGCATTTTATTATTTATGAAAATAATTGAATTCTTGTGAACGATTTTATTAGAATTTTTGAAAATAATTGAATTCTTGCAACGAATTTTATTAAAAATCTTTTTAAAGAATTGAATTCCTGTGATGAATTTTATTTGTTAAAATAATTGAATTCCAGAGAAAAATATTTTTATTTATGAAAATAATTAATTTCTTGTGAAGAATTTTATTCAAATTTTTTTAAATAATTGAATTTTTTAGAATTTTTAAAAACTTTTTAAAAATAATTAAATTTTATTTAAAAATTTGAAAATAATTGAAATCTAACAAAGAATTAAAAAAATAATATTAATTATTTTTTAAATAATTGAATTCCTGTTTATTTATTTATTCCTGTTTTAAAATGTTTATTTTTGAAAAAAATTGAATTCTTGGTAAAAATGAATTGCTTAAAAGACTTTTATTTTTTACCAAAATAATTGAATTTTTTCGAAGAGTTTTACAAACATTTTTGACAATAATTGTATTTGTAGAAAAATGTTGTATTTCACGAAAATAATTGTATTCTATGACCGATTTTATTATAATTTTTCAAATTTATAAAGTATTTTATCAAAATTTTTAAAAATAATTAAATTCTTAAGGGCATTTGAACCTTGATGACGTTTCAGTTTGTGCAAAGCATGTGTGACGTCATCAAGTTTCAAATGCCCTTAAGAAAGAAAATATAATTGATTTCTAGCGAAGAATTTTATTCAAATTCCTTTAAATAATTGAATTCCCATAAAAAATGTATTGTTTGTGAAAATAATTGAATTCTTATGAAGAAATGTATTGAAAACAATTGAATTGTATAGGAAAATTTTATTAAAACTGCAATTTCATGAACTAAATCTTGTAAAGAATTTTGTCAGCATTTTTTTAAATAATAGAATTATTAAAAGAATTTTATTTAAATTATTCGAAATAATTGAGTTTCTCAGACTTTTTTTCAATTTTCTTTATAATATTTGAATTCTTTAGAGAAACTCAATTGAAAAATTTTAAATAATTATTGAATTGATGCGAAGAAATTTATAAAAGAAATTTGTTAAGTAATTGAATTTCTGTTAAATTTTTATTTAAATTTTCTTTAAATAATAGAATTCTTTTAAAAAATTTTATTAAAATAGTAGATATCAAAAATAATTGAAATGAGGAAAATGCATTTTATTTTTAAAAATAATTGAAATTTTGCCAAGAATTTTATTAAATTTTTTGAAAATAATTGAATTTCGGAGAAGAATTATATTATATTTATAATGATAATTGAAATTTTGACGAGAATTTAAAAAAATTTTTAAACATAATTTAATTTTTGCGAAGTTATTTAAAAGTTATTTAAAAATTAATACGAGAAAAGTATTAATATTTCAAAATTGTGTTTAGAAAAATATGAACAGAATTTAATCAGATTATTTAGTGAAATAAAAGCTTGAGTTTTACTTTATTATTATTCCGAGAGAGGCATTATCCCTACCAAAATTTTATTCTCAAGAACAACCCATAATTTTAAATTTGAACTGCCAGGGCCCTAAGGACCCAATCAAACTTTAGAAATTGGGACTAACGATTTTTCGCTATATTTACCTAAAAATTTTCTCTTTCGAAACCAATCCTAAAACTTTTCCACTAATTTTAAAATTTACCCCCAAAATCTGTTAATGAAACTTTTCAATCGGAACAAATACTGTCGAATTTCAGTCTGCTTCAAGTAGTCGAACTTAATTGTAATTAAAATATTTTGTAAATAAAAATAAGAATTTTGTAAATAATAAAAGTTAACCAAAAAAAAAAAAAAAAAAAAAATGGATCAAGTTGATACATATTTAAAACACTCAAATGGCATTCAGTACCATGTGATTACAGGCTTATTGAATGAATTTGAAAATGAGGTTAGTCAAATGAAGGGAACAGTGATGGACATAGGATGTGGTCCTGGAAATAGTACGAAGAGTTTAATTTTACCAAAATTGTCAAAAGATGCCGTTGTAGTCGGTATGTATGATGCTATTTATTATTTTTATTTTCATTCTATAAATTTTTTTTGTGTTCTTATTTAATCATTAATTTATTAATTATAAAAAATTTTCCCAATAATTCAATTTTATACATAAATAATTTTTCGAAAGAATTCAATTATTATTAAAGATAAATAACAAAATTATTCCACGGAAATTGAATTATTTTAAGGTCTTTTAATAAAAATCTTTGCAAAATTCAATTATTTTCATAAATAACCATATTCATGACAAGAATTCAATTATTCTTAAAAGTAATAAATTTTTTCTTCGAAATTCAATTACTTTCAAAAATTCTAAAAAAATTCGTTCACAAGAATTCAATTATTTTCATAAATAATAAAATGCTTTTTGAAAATTCAATTATTTTTGAAATTTTTAAGAAAATTCTTAGCAACCATTCAATTATTTTCATAAATAATAAAATGCTTTTAAGGAATTCAATTATTTTTGAAGAATTTAATAAAATTCTTAGGAACCATTCAATTATTTTCATAAATAATAAAATTCATCGCAGAATTTTTCAAATATTTTTAATACAATTTTACAGGAACTGCTCAAAAAATGTAATTATTCAAAAAAATTTAATTCTAATTCCTCGAAAAAAATTAATTATATGAAAAAATGTTTTTTTTTTAATTCTTTGGAAGAATTCAATTATTTTAAAAATAATTTTAATTAACTTTTTTATTTTAAATAATTAAATTATCATTTTAGATTTTAATAAAAAATTTTCCCAAGAATTCAATTATTTTTAAAAGCAATAAATTTTTTCTTAAAAATTCAATTATTTCCAAAAATTCTAAAAAAAATCGTTCACAAGAATTCAATTATTTTCATAAATAATAAAATTCATCGCAGAATTTTTCAATTATTTTCAATACAATTTTACAAAATGTTAAAAAAAATGTTATTATTTTGAAAAATGTAATTTCAATTCCAGGGAAAAATCAATAAACTTTTTAATAAAAATGTTTTTTTAAAATTCTTTGAAATAATTCAATTATTTACAAAAATATTAGAATTGTTCATCGGAACTTAATTATTTTCAAATATTTTAATAAAATTGTTCGAAAGAAATCAATTATTTTAAATACAATTTTAATTTTTATGAAATAATTCAATTATTCTTTTAGATTTTAATAAAATTCTTCCCAAAAATTCAATTATTAAAGATAAATAACAAAATTATACCCGAAAAGTCAATAATTTTGAGGCATTTTAATAAAATTCTTTGCTAACTTCAATTATTTTCATAAATAACAATATTCATCACAAGAATTCAATTATTTAAAAAATAAAAATTTCATAAAATTTCCAAACAGAATTCAATTATTAAAACATTTTTTTGTAAAAATCTTCGTAAGAATTCAATTCTTTTCATGAATAATGAAACTTTCTTAGGAATTCAATTATTTAAATTAGAATTTGCATAAAATTAGTTGAAAGAAATGAATTCAATTAGTTTTGAAAGTAATAAATTTTTTCTTGGAGAAATTCAATTATTTAAAAAAAGTTAATAAATTAATTAAATAATAATAATTAATAAAATTCTTCGCAAAAATTCAATTATTTAAAATACAATTTTCATAAATTTTTTCGAAAAATTATTTTCTAAAATTTCTAAAATTTTGAGTCATTTTAATAAAATTTTTTGCAAAATTCAATTATTTTCAATAAATAACAATATTCATCACAAGAATTCAATTATTTTAAAAAATAATAAATTTCCTTCTGCAAGTTCATTTATTTTAAAAAATTCTAATAAAATGTTTCTTAAGAATTTAATTATTGTCAAAAATTTTAATTGAATTCTTCGTAAAATTGAATTATTTTAAAAAATTTTTGAAATTCAATTATTTTCAATATCTACTATATTTTAATAAAATTCCCCAAAAGAATTCAATTACTTAAAAAAATTATTTGATAAAATTCTAAGCAAAACATTCAATTTACTTTCGTAAATAATAAAAATTTCACAAAAATTCAATTTTTTTGCAATAGAATTTGCATTAATTTTTTTTGTGGAAAAGAATTTATTTAAAACTGTTTTAAAAAAATCTTCCCAAGAATTAAATTATTTTCACGAAATAATAAAATTTTTTACTTATATTCAATTGTTTAAAAAATTTTAATAAAATTCTACTCAAAAATTCAATTACTTTTTTTTATATAAAATTCTTCTTCTGGAATTCAATTATTCCCATAAATAATGAAACTCAGCAGATATTTCAATTATTTACAAAAAAGGTAATAAAATTCTTAGAAACGATTCAATTATTTTCAATTATTTTCAATTTTTACTATTTTAATAAATTTTCCCAATAAAATTAAATTATTTTCATAAATAATAAAATTTTTACAGAAATTCAATCATTTAAAATTATTTTTTATTCAATTATTGAAAAAATTATTTTTCTATTTAAATAATTGAATTCTAGTTGAATTTTCAAATAAAAATTAATTTAAAAATTAATTTCATTTAAAATTTTTTAAATAATAATTGAATATTAAAAGAAAATGAAACGTAAATTTTTAAAAATAATTAAATTTTGATATTAATTTTTTTTTTGAAAAAGTTTAATTGAACTTTTTTTTATATTTGAAGTTTTTATTTTCTAATATATTTTTAATTGAAGAATTAACGATTAATGTTTTTAAATTTGTATTTACTGGCAAGTTTGATATTAAAGTAAAGAAAAAAAATATTAATTTTATCGTTTGTGACTAAATAGAATTTGAATTTCGTGGTAATTGACATTAATTTACTCAATTATATGTAAAAATTGGAAAATTGACCTTTGCTTGTAATTTATTCTCTAAATTTTAATATAGTGTTTAAAAACAAAAATATTATTTCTCACAAATAGGACTCGATGTCTCGGAGAAAATGGTCGAATGTGCACGAATACTAAATGCTGACGAAAAAGAACGGTTAAGTTTTGAACAATTTGATATTGAAGTAAAAGATTTTCCCGTTGAATACGAGGAACGATTTGATCACGGTTTTTCCTTCTTTACTCTTCATTGGATTGCAGATTTAAGGTATTTTTTCTGGCCTTTTTTTGTAAATTACAAAAAAAATTTTTTATTTATAATAAAAATATTTCTTTTGTCTTCTTTTGAAAACTATATTGCAAAATATTTGTCTATTTTACTATAAAAATAAATATTATTTTTCTATTTATTTTTTTGTTCTGAATTCATTTACAGACTTGCTTTTGAAAATATTTATAAACTTTTGAAACCCGGAGGAACATTCTTAAGTCAAACTATTCAAGTGTTTAATGGCTACAATGGATATTTAAAACTAGCTGAATCTGAAAAGTTCAAAGAATACATGAAGGTGATTTGATTAAAAATAAATTTTATTAAAATATAACATTTATTTAAAAAAGATTTTTTTTTATTTAAAAAAAAAAAATTTTTTTTATTGGTTTAAAATTATTAAATGGTAAAAAAAATTTATTTCAGGATGCTAGGAGATATGTAACTTCTCTTTATTTTGCCGAAAATCCAAGAGCAGCTTTGATAGAAATTTTAGAGGATGTTGGTTTCCAAGTTTTACATTGTAGCGTACGGGAAAAAATAACTGGTTATAAATCACAAGCTGACAGAAAAGGTGAATTTACAACTTTTTTTTCTCTAAATATTAAACAATTTTTCTTTTATTTCAATTAATTAAAAAATTCTAATTTTTTTCCCGTGGAAAAAATAGAAAATAATTTTTTACATTCTCGTCATAAATGAGAAAGTTTAAGTTACATTAATTTTTTATTGATAAAAATATACATTTAAAAGTCAAAAAAATACAAATTTTTTTAGAAATAAAATTTTCATTTATAAAAAAAAGAAAATTGCAAAAAAAACAAATTTCTATATTCAAATATTAAAATTTGCAGAACTCTATACTTCTATCAATCCTTTCGTACTTCGAATGCCGGAAGATGTGAAAAATGAATTCATGGACAAATTAATGGAGGAAACTTTAAAGGAAGAAAATGTATTGTTTAGAAAAAATGCCGATTCCTCGAAAGAGGATAAAATATTTGATCTCTATAAATTAATGATGTTTCATATTAAAAAGCCTAATAGTGAGATTTAATAATTAGAATTTAATTTTACTAACGTCCATCAAAATTTTTTGAAAGTTTAAGAGGACGAAAAATTTTATTATATTTTTAAAAATTACTGATTTTAACTGAACTTGGAAATGAACGGCACAGTCTTTTTTTAAATGTAAAAAATAAAAGAAAAATATAAAAAAATAAAATAAAAAAAAAAATGTAAAAAAAATAAAAACAAAAAATTTATATAAATATAAATATAAATATTTTTTAAAATTACAGAATCGAATAAAATTACGAAGAATGTAAATTTTTTTTAAAATGAATTATTTATTAATACACGTGGCATACAATGTTACTGTAGAAATATATTATTAGAATTTAAAAAAGAAATAAATCGATTTCGTTCATTTGAACATTTAAAACTTTATGAACATTATTACTGAATGTGAAGAATGTGTAAAAGTAGAAATGAACTTTTTGTATTAAAATATTGTACATCACAAGAGAATAATAAAAAATTATAATATTATTTTATTAATAAAAAACATATGCAGTTAAAAAAATATTTTTAATATTTTTAATATTTTTAAAAATTAATAATAAATACCTAGTTTTATGCTAAATAAGAATTTTTTTTTTAGTAAACTCTTCGCATAGGAATAATAATTTCAAAATTTGCATTAAACTGAATTCTTGAGAGAAGAAATTAAATAAATAAATATTAATTTTATAAATTAAATATTAATTAAATATTTTAAGAACTACTTTTATGAAAACAATTATTCACTTTTGTCTTATAAATAGGAGTGAAATAATTTAATTAATTCCTTAATTGAGAAAAATCTGAGTCACCACTTCTATGAATGACGTAAAATATAATTCATTTTTCGGGTTAAAAAAAGAAACGTGCAGTAATTGTGTGAAGATAATATGCAAAATAGGAATAATAAAATATTCGAATATATGATAATGAATGTCTTTTGAATATTTATGAATCTAGTGATTGTTCATTTGTAACACTTGCTAGGAATGCATTTAGAAAAATTGCGTTTGTATAAAAAAAAAAAAAAAATTTAATTTACCGGAATCTCATTTCTTAATTCTTTTCGAACTCTTAGAAAATTTGACTACTTTTCAACTATTCCAGGCTTTGCACTCATCAACTAAAACCTACTATTCAATTATTTTCATAAATAACAAAATTTCCAAAAGAATTCAATTAATTTAAAAAAAAAAAATTTCGAAAAATTCAATTATTTAACAAAATTTTTATTCAATTTTTCACAATAATTCAATTACTTTCACTAATAATAACATTTTTCATAGAAATTCAAATTTATTAAAAAAATGTTTCATAAAATTATATTCAAAAATTAGATTATTTTCATAAATAATAAAACTCATTGAAGAATTTCAATAATTTTCCATACTATTTTAAATCAATCGAAAAATTCAATTATCTTCAGAAATAAAGTTTTTCACCAGTATTCAATTATTTCAAATCAAATTATAATAATATTTATTATATTTAGAAAAAAATAATTATTTAAAACAATGTTTATAACATTCTTATGAAGAATTCAATTATTTTCCAAAAAGAAAAGAAAAAAAAATTTCACAGAAATTCAATTCTTTTTAAACATTTTAATAAAATTCTTCTCAGGAATTCAATTATTTTTCAAAATTTTAATAAAATTCTTTGCAACTATTCAATTATTTTCATATAAAGTTCATAGCAGAATTTCAATTATTTTTAATACAATTTTATACAGGAATTGCTCAAAAAAAAGTAATTATTGTTTTAAAAAAACTAATTTCAATTCCTCGGAAAAATCAATTATTTAAAAAAAAGTTTTTTTAAATTCTTTGAAAGAATTCAATTATTAAAGATAAATAACAAAATTATTCCCGAAAATTCAGTTATTTTCATAAATAATTGAATAAATCAATTATTTAGAAAAATATTAGAAATTTTTACAGGAATTCAATTATTTTCAAGTATTTTAATAAAATTGTTCGAAAGAAATCAATTATTACAAATACAATTTTAATTAAATTTTTTTGAAATAATTCAATTATTCTTCTAGATTTCAATAAAATTCTTCTTAAGAATTCAATTATTTACATAAATAATTCTTCAAAAAAAAAAATCCAATTATGTCGATAAATAACAAAATAATTCCTGAGAATTCAATTATTCTGAGGCATTTTAATAAAATACTTTGTGAAATTCAATTACTTTAAAAAAAAACAATATTCAATTATTCATAACAATATTTAATTCAATTATTTTTAAAAGTAATAAATTTCTTCTTGGAAATTCAATTACTTTCAAAAAATTGTAATAAATTCGTTCGCAAGAATTCAATTATTTTGATAAATATAATAAAATGCTTTTTAGGAGTTCAATTATTTTTGAAAAATTTAGTTAAATTCTTAGCAGTTGTTCAATTATTTACTTAAATTATAAAATTCATCGCATGATTTTTCAATTAATCTTAAAAATTTAATTTCAATTCCTGCAAAAAATAAATTATTTAAAAAAATTTTTTTAATTCTTTGGAAGAATTCTATCATGTTGATTTTCTTTCAAAAATAGTAAAATTTAGTATTAAAAATTGTTAATTCCATAATTACTTTCATTACTATTTTCATAGACAATTTTTTTTTTTTTATAAAAATTAGAAATCTACTTTAAAAATAGCACTTAAAATTTATTAAAAAATAATTTTTAATAGCTAATTGTAATGTTTGAGGAAAATTGGAATAATTTTTATATAGAAAATATCACAATTTGATTAAATGATTTTTTTTACATTCATAAAAATAAAAAGATATTAAAAAATAATTTTCCCGATAAAAAGAAAACGTGGGTCGTCTTTTTCTGGATTATTAATTTGATTCGAAGGTTGTTTTCTCCGTTTTTCTTTTTTTCTTTTTTTTTTTTTTTATAAAGTGCGCATTTAATTCTATAGTCAAGTGTTCCTGAATAAAAACACGAACTCTACATCCTTTAATGAACAATCCGCTAATGAAGTTTACAAGTCACAGGTCAGAGAGCTTATCTCGTATCCTCCATTCTCTTTCATGTTCCACAGGTGAAAAAATTTTAATTACTTATATACAATTAATATGTAAATTATGCATGGAAAGTAGAGAAAATATAGAAATTACTTTCAAAAAAATAATATTTAAAAAATATTTAAAAAATAATAATAAAATAAAATTAAACTTTTATTTCACTAATTCAATTCCTATTTTCAAAAAATATTCGAAATTCAATTATTTTCAATATCTGCGGTATTTACATAAAACTTCGCAAAAGAATTCAATTATTTAAAGAAAAAAATTGATAAAACTCATCCAAAATTCAATTATTTTCATAAATAATAAAATTTTCACAGGAATTCAATTAATTTGGAATAGCATTTTCCAAATAGTTTCGTAAAAATCAATTACTTGACAAAATTTTTTTGCAATAAAATAAACTCTTCGTAGGAATTCAATTATTTTTGAAGAATTTAATAAAATTCTTAGGAACCATTCAATTATTTTCATAAATAATAAAATTCATCGCAGGATTTTTCAATTATTTTTAATACAATTTTACAGGAATAGCAAAAAAAAAAAAGAAATGTAATTATTCTTAAAAATTTAATTTCAATTCCTGGAAAAAATCAATTATTTAAAAAAATGTTTTTTTTTAAATTCTTTGAAAGAATTCAATTATTTCAAATACTAATTTAATTACATTTTTTGGAAATAATTAAATTATTCTTTAAGATTTTAATAAAATTTCTTCGAAACAATTCAATTATGTCGATAAATAAAAAAATTATTTCCGAAACTTGAATTATTTTGAGGCATTATAATAAAATTCTTTGTAAAATTCAATTATTTTCATAAATAATAAAACTCTTTTTAGATATTCAATTATTTTTAAAAAAGTAATAAATTTCTTCATGGAAATTCAATTATTTAAAAAAAATTCTAATAGAATCGTTCACCGGAATTCAATTATTTTCAATTATTTTAATAAAATCGTTCGAGAGAAATCAATTATTTTAAATACAATTTCAATTTTTATGAAATAATTCAATTATTCTTTTAGATTTTAATAAAATTCTTCCCAAGAATTCAATTATTAAAGATAAATAACAAAATTATTCCCGAAAATTCAATTATTCTCATAAACAACAATATTCATCACAAGAATTCAATTATTTTCGAATATAAATAATAAAACTCATTGAAGAATTTCAATAATTTTTCATACTACTTTAAATCAATCGAAAAATTCAATTATTTTCACAAATAAAGTTTTCCACAAGAATTCAATTATTTCAAATAAAATTTCGATAATATTTATTATAATTAGAAAAAATTAATTATCTGAAACAATGTTTATAAAATTCACAAATACTTTAATTTTCATAAATAATAAAATTCTTCGCGGAATTTCAATTATTTTTAATACAATTTTACAGGAATTGATAAAAAATTTGTAATTATTCTTAAAAAACTATAATTTCAATTCCTTGGAAAATACAACTTTTTTAAAAAAAAGGTTTTTTTTAAATTCTTTGAATGAATTCAATTATTGAAGATAAATAACAAAATTATTTCCGAAAATTCAATTATTTTGAGATATTTTAATAAAATTCTTTGCAAAATTCAGTTATTTTCATAAATAATTGAATAACTTAATTATTTAGAAGAATATTAGAAATTTTTATAGGAATTCAATTATTTTCAAATATTTTAATAAAATGTTTCGAAAGAAATCAATTATTGCAAATTCAATTTTAATTAAATTTTTCTTGAAATAATTCAATTATTCTTCTAGATTTAAATCAAATTCTTCTCAAGAATTAAAATATTTACATAAATAATTCTTCAAAAAAAAATCCAATTATGTCGGTAAATAACAAAATAATTCCTGAGAATTCAATTATTCCGAGGCATTTTAATAAAATACTTTGTAAAATTCAATTATTTTTGTAAATAACAATATTCATCACACGAATTTAATTATTTTTAAAAATAATAAATTTCTTCTTGCAGGGTTGCCACAGGTCAGGGAAATCAGGGAAATCAGGGAAAAGTACTGGAAAAAATTGAATTTTTAAAATTCATGAGAAAACTCTGAATTTTTTTTCCTTTTTGCCTCGTAAATTATGAAATTACCTCGAATTTTAATACAAAACCTTCAATTTTTTCAATTCCTGACAATAATTTCTTTCTAAATAACTTCATTTTTCAAAAACTATCATAAAATTATGACTTACAAATTATTTTATAAATAATTTTTACAATTTTCATAAATACTAGATTCATAGAAGAATTTCAGTTAAAAATACTAAAAAAAATTGGATTTTGGAAAAGTTACAAATGATTACAGAAATTCAATTATTTTCAAAAGTTACAAAAATTCTTCGCAAAATTTCAATTATGTTCAAAAATTAAAAAAAAATTCTCGTCAAAATTTCAATTATCTTTATAAATAATAAAATTCTTCATTGAAATTCAATTATATTTAAGAATTTTAATAAAATTCTTGGCAAAATTCCACAGGAATTCAATTATTCAATATTTAATCAATTTCTTTGAAATAATTCAATTATTTTCATAAGTAATAAAATTTTCACAAGAATTCAATTATTTAAAATACAAAATTTCATAAAATTTTTCGAAAAATATCAATTATATAAAAAGATTTTTATAAAATATTTTCATGAATTCAATTATTTTTATAAATAATAAAATTCTTCACCGAAATTCAATTACTTTTATAAACTTGAATAAAATTCGTTGTAAAAATTCAATTATTTATATAAACTTGAATAAAATTCGTTGGAAGAATTAAATTATTTTCAAAATAATAAAATTCTTTGCAGAAATTCAATTATGTTCAAAAATTAAAAAAGAAATATTGACAAAATTTCAATTATCTTTATAAATAATAAAATTCTTCATTGAAATTCAATTATATTTAAGAATTTTAATAAAATTCTTGTCAAAATTTCGTAGGAATTCAATTATTCAATTTTTAATAAAGCAATTCAAAATAATTCCATTATTTTCATAAGTAATAAAATTTTCACAGGAATTCAATTAGTTAAAATACAAAATTTCATAAAATTTTTCGAAAATCATCAATTATTTAAAAATATTTTTATAAAATTCGTCGCAAGAATTTAATTATTTAAAAAAATTTAACATTGTTCTTTTTAAGAATTTAATTATGTTTATAAATAATAAAATTCTTCACCGAAATTCAATTATTTTTATAAACTTGAATAAAATTCGTTGTCAGAATTCAATTATTTATATAAATAATAAAATTTTTCTCCGACATTCAATTATTTTATGAAAATTTTAATTATTTATTTAATTATTATTTTTATGAATTATTTTTTATACAATTTTTTAATCAAATTCCTTGATAAATGTAATTATTCTTAAAAATTTTATTAAAATTTGTCAAACGAATTCAATTATTTAAAATTTTATTGATAAAATTCTTTATGAGAATTCAATTTTAACAAACATTCAATTATTCAATAAATTATATATTTTTTAATTTAAATAATTGAATTTTTTTAGAATTTTCTAATAAAAGTTGATTTAAAAATGAATAAACGAATAATCGATTTATTATTATTTTAAAAATAATTGAATTATTGCAACGAATTTTATTACATTTTTTTAAATAATAATAATAATAAAATAATACATACAAAAATAATATAATAATAATTAAAAATAATACACACCCTCGTGTGTGGGTTCCTTTGAAGGTGGAGTAACGCCCAGTGTACAATATCCTTTACAGCATCTTTGATTTGGACCAAAGATGCTGCAGTCGGCTTTTTCATTGCACGGGATGCTTAAAAGTCGTGATAGTCTTCCTTCCAGATTCAAGACTCTTGGACAGATTAGCTCTTGTTCCTCTTGCACTTTATTGTCACTCGTTACTCCCACTTTTGTTGAAGCGACTGAAACAGAATTTTTTTTTTTTTTTTTTTTTTAATGCAGACATCGATCGATGCTATATATATACAGTATACAATTTCCATTGTTTACTTTCCCTTTTTTCTATACTTCAACAATTTCTGCAAACTTAAGAAATTGTCATTAAAATTTAAATCACAGTCTTTCTACGGATATTAAATTGACACAAAAAAAATGGATCAAAAAAATTTTAATTGCAACAATTTTCATACGTTTTTTTTGTCTTAATTATAATATGATATTTCTCACTGCCTTTTTACAATAAAATTAGCAATTTTAAAAACTACAGAATTTAAAAATTTTCAAATTAAAATTTTTGTTGATAACGCGCTAAAAAAATTCAATTTTGATGAAATTACAATTATTTAAAAAAAATTCTTCTTATAAAATTCAACTATATGTTCAAAAATATGAAAAAAAAATTCTCGTAAAAATGCTAATGATTTTTATGAATAACAAAATTCTTATCCAAAGTTTAATTATTTTCATAAATGTCAAATAAATTCTTGGCCTAATTTCAATTATTTTCAAAAATAAAATGCATTTTTCTAATTTCAATGACTTTCAATATCTACTATTTTAATAAAATTCCCCGAAAGAATTCAATTATTTTAAAAAAATTTTAATAAAATTTTATGCAAAAATTTAATTATTTTATAATAAATAATAAATATTTCACTGGAATTCAATTATTATTTTTATAAATAATAAAAATTTTTTTAAAGGAATTTAATTATTTTCATAAAAAAAAAAATAATAATAATAATAATTTAATAATTTATTCTTTGAAATAAATAAATAATTTTTTGATAATGAAAATTTTACATAAATATGATTCTAAATTTAAAAATTGCTCAAAAGGAGGAATATTATCCCTACTTTAGTTTAGAACATCATCCCTACCAAAATTTTATTCTCAAGTACAGCCCATAATTTTATAGATTCGAACTGGCAGGGCCCTAAGGATCCAATCAAGCTTTAGAAATTGGGGACTAACGACAATTCGCTATATTTCCCTAAATATTTTCTCTTTCGGAACCAATCCTAAAACTTTTCCACTACTTTAAAAATTTACCCCCAAAAATCAGTTGATGAAACTTTTCAGTCGGTATAAATACTGTCCAAGTTTAGTCTGCGTCTGGTAGTTCTTAAACTTAATTGTAATTGAAATATTTTGTTATTTTTAAAAGAAGAGTTAGCAAAAAAAAATATTACAATGGATCAAGCTTATGAATTTTTAAAACACTCAACTGGTATTCAATACCAAGTGATTACAGCCTTATTGAGAGAATTTGAAAGAGACGTTAGCCAAATGAAGGGCACAGTGATGGACGTTGGTTGTGGTCCTGGAAATAATACGAAGAATTTGATTTTACCAAAAATATCAAAAGATGCCGTTATGGTCGGTATGTATGATGCTATTTATTATTTTCATGTAATTTTTATTTTAGTTTCATTCTACAAAAAATGTTTTTTATATTTTATATTTTTTATGTTTTAAATTTTGAAAAATTTTGAAATTATTGCAGAAACTCAATTATTTTCAAAAGTAATAAAATTCTTCACAGAAATACAATTATTTTCAAAAATTTTTTCAAATTTTCCTCAAAATTTTAATTATCTTTAAAAATAATAAAATTCATCTCCGAAATTCAATTATTTTCAAATTTTAGAGAACTTTAATTATTTTCAATAGAATTTTAATGAAATTTCCCAAAAATATTTCTTTTTTTTGTTAATTTTAATAAATTTATAAAAATTCAATTATTTTACTAATTGATTACCTAATAATTGTTTTCATAATAGAATTATTTGCAAGAATTTAATTATTTAAAAAAAAAATTTTCTAAGATTCTTAGCAAACACTCGATTGTTGAATTGAATTTTTAAAAATTTACTTTCAATTTTTTTTAATAGGAATTCAATTATTTTAAATATAATTTTTAAGTGAGAAAGAAAATAATTATTTAATATAATATTAAATAAACATCTTCGAAAGCAATTGATTGAATTATTTCCATAAATAATAAAATTCATTTCAAAAATTCAATTTTTTCTAAAATAATAAAATAATAATAAAATATGTTTATAAGAATTTAATACAATTTTAATTAAATTCCTGGAAAAAATTGATTTTCTTCAAAAAATTGAATAAATTTCTTCCAAATTTAATTATTTTCAAATATTTTGAAAAAATTTGTTCGAAAGAATTTAATTATTTTCAATACAAATTTCATTTTTCTTAGATATTCAATTATTTTGGAAAAATTTTTAATAAAATTCTTAGTAAAATTTTAATTATTTTCAAACATTTTCCTTAATTTAATGATTTTCAATATTTACTATTTTAATAAAATTTTCCGAAAGAATTCAATTATTTAAAAAAAAAATAATAAAATTCTACGCAAACCTTTTATTATTTTTATAAAATAATAAAAATTTGACAGAAATTGAATTATTTACAAATTTCTTATAAATTTCTTCGCAATGATTCAATTATTTTCATAAATAATAAAATATTTACAGGGATTCAATTATTTTCGTAAATAATAAAATTTTTCTTCGAAATTCAATTATTTTCAATTCATTTTTAATAAAATTCTTCGCAGAAATTCAATTATTTAAAATACAATTTTCATAAATTTTTTCGAAAAATTATTTTCTAAAATTTCTAAAATTTTGAGTCATTTTAATAAAATTTTTTGCAAAATTCAATTATTTTCAATAAATAACAATATTCATCAAAAGAATTCAATTATTTTAAAAAATAATAAATTTCCTCCTGCAAGTTCATTTATTTTAAAAAATTCTAATAAAATGTTTCTTAAGAATTTAATTATTGTCAAAAATTTTAATTGAATTCTTCGTAAAATTGAATTATTTTAAAAAATTTTTGAAATTCAATTATTTTCAATATCTACTATATTTTAATAAAATTCCCCAAAAGAATTCAATTACTTAAAAAAATTATTTGATAAAATTCTAAGCAAAACATTCAATTTACTTTCGTAAATAATAAAAATTTCACAAAAATTCAATTTTTTTGCAATAGAATTTGCATTAATTTTTTTTGTGGAAAAGAATTTATTTAAAACTGTTTTAAAAAAATCTTTCCAAGAATTAAATTATTTTCACGAAATAATAAAATTTTTTACTTATATTCAATTGTTTAAAAAATTTTAATAAAATTCTACTCAAAAATTCAATTACTTTTTTTTATATAAAATTCTTCTTCTGGAATTCAATTATTCTCATAAACAATGAAACTCAGCAGATATTTCAATTATTTACAAAAAAGGTAATAAAATTCTTAGAAACGATTCAATTATTTTCAATTATTTTCAATTATTTTCAATTTTTACTATTTTAATAAATTTTCCCAATAAAATTCAATTATTTTCATAAATAATAAAATTTTTACAGAAATTCAATCATTTAAAATTATTTTTTATTCAATTATTGAAAAAATTATTTTTCTATTTAAATAATTGAATTCTAGTTGAATTTTCAAATAAAAATTAATTTAAAAATTAATTTCATTTAAAATTTTTTAAATAATAATTGAATATTAAAAGAAAATGAAACGTAAATTTTTAAAAATAATTAAATTTTGATATTAATTTTTTTTTTGAAAAAGTTTAATTGAACTTTTTTTTTATATTTCAAGTTTTTATTTTCTAATATATTTTTAATTGAAGAATTAACGATTAATGTTTTTAAATTTGTATTTACTGGCAAGTTTGATATTAAAGTAAAGAAAAAAAATATTAATTTTATCGTTTGTGACTAAATAGAATTTGAATTTCGTGGTAATTGACATTAATTTACTCAATTATATGTAAAAATTGGAAAATTGACCTTTATTATTTATTTATTTATTCCATAAGTTCCACTATAGTGTTTAAAAACAAAAATATTATTTCTCACAAATAGGACTCGATATCTCGGAGAAAATGGTCGAATGTGCACGAAAATTAAATGCTGACGAAAAAGAACGCCTAAGTTTTGAACAATTGGATATTGAAATAAAGGATTTGCCAGCCGAATACAAGGAACGATTTGATCACGGTTTTTCCTTCTTTTGTTTTCAATGGATTCAAGATTTAAGGTATTTTTTCTGCCTTTTTTGTAATTTCAAAAAATATTTTTCTACATTTTTAATTTATTTAAAAAAATTTTTTTTTTCTTTTCTCTTCTCTTGCAAATTAAAAAAAGATTTTTCTACATTTTTATTTTACTGTGAAAAATAAATATTTTTTTTATTTATTTATTTTTTTCTGAATTCATTTATAGAAGTTGCTTTGGAAATATTTATAAACTTCTGAAACCCGGAGGAACATTCATAAGTCAACATATTTTATTATTTAATGTCTACAATGGATATTTAACACTAGCTGAACGTGATAAGTTCAAAGAATACATTAAGGTAATTTTAATAAAAATAAAATTTATTAAAACTTTTTTTTATTTTTTTTTATTTTTATTTTTTTATTTTTTTTTAATTTTTGAAAAAAACTTTGTTATAAGTTCAATTAATTATTATTCAATGACAAACAAATTTATTTCAGGATATATTTTAGTCAACATAATATAATAATTAAATTAAAAAATATTTAAAAAAAAATTTTTTTTTTTAAATTTTTTAAAAAATTTTGTTATAAGTTCAATTTAATATTATTCAATGGCAAACAATTTTTTATTTCAGGATGTTAAGAAATTTATAACTCCTCTTTATTTTGTCGAAGATCCACGAGAAACTTTTGTAAAAATTTTAGAGGATATTGGTTTTCAAGTGTTACATTGCAGCATACGGGAAAAAGTATCTGGCTATAAATGTCTAGCTGACAGAAAAGGTAAATTTACAGCTTTTTTTTCTAAATATTAAGAAATTTTTCTTTTATTTCAATTAATTAGAATATTCTAATTTTTCTCCTGTGTAAAAAATCTGAAATAATTTTTTACATTCTCGTCATAAATGAGAAAGTTTAAGTTACATTTCTTTTTTTTTATTGATAAAAATTTTTAAAAGTCAAAAAATACCAATTTTTTAAAAAATGAAAATTTTTGTTTATTTAAAAAAAAAAATTTCCATATTTAAAAAAAATTTTTTTTTTTAATTTCTATATTTGAAAAATTAAAATTTACAGAACTCTTTGCTTCTGTCAATCCTTTCGTTCCTCTTATGCCGGAAGATGTGAAGAATGAATACATGGACGCTTTAATCGAGGAAACTTTGAAGGAAGAAACTGTAATGTTTAGAAAAAGTGATGATTCTTCGAATGAGGAGAAAGTATTTGATCTCTATAAATTAATTATGTTACATATTAAAAAGCCAGAAAATAAGGCTTAATAATTATAATTTAGTGTTACTTAAGTCAATCAAAAAAAATTTTTTTTTAAGTTCAAGAGAACGGAATAATTTATTAAATTTTTAAATATTTATATAAAAAAAAAAAAAAAACTTTTTAAAACTTTATAAAAATGACTCATGTGGAGAATGTATAAAAATAGATATAAAAACTTTGTGTATAAAATAAAGAGAATATTGAAATAAAAAATTATAGAAATTACTAAAGTTTTTTTTTTACTTGAATTTTGTAAAATTTTTCAAATTTATTTCATTAATTTAATTAATAATAAACGCATGAAATTAATAACACATTTTCAAAAGTTAATAATAAATGGATAAATAATTTATTTTATTCATAATTTTATTTATTTATTAATTAAAGTAATAATAGAAAATACGTTTAAAAAAGCCACTAATGGTAATGTTTTTTAAACCGAAATTTGTCACGAGAAAAAAATATTAAATTTTGTAAAAGTATTTTACAATATGAGGAAAAATGAGACAAAGCGAAATTTTTATATAAAAAATATTTAAATTTATAAAAAATTATATATGAAATTTATTATTTTTGTTTGTCTCGTCAACTATGAAATTAGTACGAATTCTGAAAAAATACCTTCAAATTTCTTCTATTTCTGATAATAATTTTTTTTTAAAATAATTTAATTGTATTGACGAACTGCCATAAAGTTATTATTTTTAAACCATTTAATAAAAGATTTTAATTTTAATTCTGTTGAAATTAGTTTTAACTTTAAAAATTTTTAACGCAATTCTTTGAAAAAATTCAATTATTTTAATAAATAGAAAATAGGTTTCAAAATTCTTTCTAGAAATTCAATTATTTTTAAAAATTAAAAAAAAATTCTCGTCAACATTTCAATAATCTTTGTAAATAGCAAAATTCTTTGCCGAAATTCAATTATTTTCAAAAAATCTAAAAAAAAATTATCGTTAATATTTCAATTATCTTTATAAATAGCAAAATTCTTTGACAAAATTATAAATTATTTTCAGGAATTTTAATAAAATTCATTGCAAAATTCTACTGTTTAAATAAAATTTCCCAAAAGAAGTCAATTATTAAACAAAAATTTTGATAAAATTCTACACGAATATTCAATTATTATTTCTAGAAAAAAAATAAAAATTCCACGAGAATTCAATTATTAAAAATAGAATTTGCATAAATTTCTTTGAAAAAAATAAATGTTTTAAAATTTGGTTTTAAATTCTTCCCAGTAATTCAATTATTTTCATAAATTTTAAAATTCCTTTCAAGGATTTAATTATTTTCATAAATAATAAAATCATTCGGAGGATGTTGATTATTTTCATACATAAATAACAATTTTCATCACAAGAATTAAATTATTTTTAAAAATAATCAAATTCAATTATTTTTAAAAATTTTAATAAAATTCATTGTAAAATTTCAATTATTTTCAAAAACTGTTCCAAATATTCAATTATTTTCTAAAAAAAAAAAACATTTTTATGAGGAATTCAATTATTATCAAACATTTCATAAAATTTTTCGCAGAAATTCAATTATTTTCAAAAATAACTAAATTTTTATAAAGAATTCAATTATTAAAAAAATTTTAATATAATAACCTTCAATTTTTTCAATTTCTGACAATAATTTCTTTTTTTAACTTAATTTTTCAAAAACTATCATAAAATTATGACTTACAAATTATTTTATAAATCATTTTTACAATTTTCATAAATACTAGATTGATAGAAGAATTTCAATTAAAAATACTAAAAAAAATTGGATTTTGGAAAAGTTACAAATGATTACAGAAATTCAATTATTTTCAAAAGTTACAAAAATTCTTCGCAAAATTTCAATTATGTTCAAAAATTTAACAGAAATTCTCGTCAAAATTTCAATTATCTTTATAAATAATAAAATTCTTCATCGAAATTCAATTATTTTTAAAAATTTTAATAAAATTCTTGTCAAAATTCAACAGGAATTCAATTATTCAATATTTAATAAATTTCTTTGAAATAATTTAATTATTTTCATAAGTAATAAAATTTTCATACGAATTCAATTATTTAAAATACAAAATTTCATAAAATTTTTCGAAAAATATCAATTATATAAAAAGATTTTTATAAAATTCGTCGCAAGAATTTAATTATTTAAAAAAATTTAACATAGTTCTTTTTAAGAATTCAATTATTCTTATAAATAATAAAATTCTTCACCGAAATTCAATTATTTTTATAAACTTGAATAAAATTCGTTGTAAGAATTCAATTATTTATATAAATAATAAAATTTTCCTCCGACATTCAATTATTTTATGAAAATTTTAATTATTTATTTAATTATTATTTTTATGAATTATTTTTTATACAATATTTTAATCAAATTTCTGGGATAAATGTAATTATTCCTAAAAATTTTATTAAAATTTGTGAAACGAATTCAATTATTTAAAATTTTATTGATGAAATTCTTTTTGAGAATTCAATTTTAACAAACATTCAATTATTCAATAAATTATTTATTTTTTAATTTAAATAATTGAATTTTTTTAGAATTTTCTAATAAAAGTTGATTTAAAAATGAATAAACGAATAATCGATTTATTATTATTTATAAAAATAATTGAATTATTGCAACGAATTTTATTACATTTTTTTAAATAATTGAATTTTTTTGTGAAATTGTACTTCTTGTAAAAATAATTGAATTCTTGCGAAGGATTTTTGTAAATAATTAACTTATTTTAAAAAATTTGATGGCAATTTAAATGATTACAAAACATGAAGAAGACGATTCATGTTTTGTAATAATATTCTTATAATATGTAAGATGTAGACTATCGATCACTCCGAGTCAAATAATAATAAATAATAATAATTTGACTCGGAGTGATCGATAGTCTACATCTTACATATTATTAATTTGACCGAGTGATAAAATCAAGAATTCTATAATATTCTTATAAGTTGTTGAATTTCAAAAAGGTTTAAATGTGAATATTTTGAAGAATTTTAATTCCTACAGAAAAATAATAATGATTAAATATTTATTTAAGAAAGAAGTTATTGATGTTTTTAAATAATTTTACAATTAAAGAAGTTTGTAAATAAATGTAATATAACATTTTTTTTGAGTATCTAATAATTTTTAGAGTGAATCAGAATATTCTTTAGGGTCAGGGAAAAAGTGAAATTCTTTTCTGGAAATCAGGGAAGAGTCAGGGAAAAATAAAATTAAATATTTGTGGCAACCCTGATTTGTTATTACAAAAGTTATTAAAAAATATGAAATTGTTGTTAATTTTTAGTATTTTAATAAGTTTTCTTATTAAATATAGTTTCTAAGAAATAAACTTTACTCGAAAACAACAAAATGTAAAAGATTTGAATGAAAATTTTTTAAATTTTTTATAACAAATTAGAAATTTTTTTTATTTTTTAATTAATTTTCTATAGCTCTGGAAAATGTTTGGGGGGAATTTTTTAACTAATTACGTTCGTTTACTAACAAAAATATAAATATTACAAAAATTATCCCTTGTTTTATAAAAAAAAAATTTTTTTATAATGATAAAATCATCAATTATTCAATTGCCCATGGAAAAATGATAGGCTCACTACACAAATTTAGACACACTGAGAAAAATAGAATACCTGCAAAAGGGTCGCTATAGATCGTGATTTTTATAGCCTATAACCATATCATTAAATTGAAGGACGAATATTTCTTTTTGTTAATGTTAAAAATAATTTTTATTTATATTTCATCATTATATTTGTTTTTCATGAACTCAGATTCTTTAGAAGTGATTATTTATGTATGCTAAATATTCATGTGAATTTAAATTTAAAAATAACATCCATTTTTACGTAGTATCAATTAGAGTTTGCGAGATTAGAAAATTTTTTTATAATGAATTTTAGATATTTGTAATCATAAATTTAATTTATAATTTTAAGTAAAACGTTCTCTTATTTGACCAGAACTAGGAATTTTATATTTTTTTAGGAAAAAACAAGATGGTAAAATGTTCTGAAAAAAATCATATGATTCTAAAATAATCTAATTAACAAACTGTAAAAATTTTATAAGTTTCTCTCATATCCTTATATTGACGGTGACAATCTTTATAATAAAAACAAAAAAGGAATTTATTGTTTTCATAAAAATACTTCTTAAAATATTTTTAATTATTTTACAAATAAAATGTAGTAACGGATAGAAATAGAAAGAAGAATTTTTATGTATATTATATCAAACTAAAATTAGTTCTAAAATTAATTTTTTCTCAGAAGAATATTTTTTTCATTAATTTATTCTCTGAAGATTATTTCTATGTGAAGATTCAAACGTAGATTAATTCCATTTGTTCAAAACAAGATTGGGAGAATGTTTACAATTCCACCTGAACTATAGCCCCACTCCCGAAGATGCTACTTCCTGGTCCAACCCATAATTTTAGATTTGAATGACTTTTTGCTATATTTTCTTAAAAATTTTCTCTCTCTGAACCAATCCTAAAACTTTTCCACTACTTAAAAAATTGACCCCCAAAATCAGTTGATGAGCCTTTTCAGTCAGTGTAAATACTGTCCAAGTTCAGTCTGCGTCAAGTAGTTGAATTTATTTGTAATCGAAATATTTTGTATTTTTACAAAAGAAAAGTTAACAAAAAAAATATTATAATGGATCAAGTTAATGAATATTTAAAACACTCAAATGGCATTCAGTACCATGTGATTACATCCTTATTGAATGAATTTGAAAATGATGTTAGCCAAATGAAGGGCACAGTGATGGACATTGGATGTGGTCCTGGAAATAGTACGAAGAATTTAATTTTACCAAAAGTGTCAAAAGATGCGGTTATAGTCGGTATGTATGATGCTATTTATTATTTTTAATTATTTTCATTTTTAGTTTCATTCTATAAATTTTTTTTACATTCTTATTTGATCATTAATTTATTAATTATAAATATAATAACAGGGGGTCTACTAACCGGGAAATAGCCGGGAATTTAATTTAAACGGGAAAAACAGGGAATAAGCCAGGAATTTTATGCCAAACCGGAAATTTTTTCACCGAATTAAAAAAAATTTTATTATTTTAATTTGTTTTTAAAAAATCCCTTGTTTTTATATCAATTTTTATAGATATTTATACTATTCTCTAAATTTCAATCAGTTAAAAATAATTATTTTGATAGTAAAAAATCAGTCACTGATTCAAATATAGTTAGTAAATAAATTTTAAAAAATTATCAATTTAATAGAAATTTTGTGAAATTAAACTGAAAATAATTAAATTTGTTAAAGAATTTCATTAAAAACTTTTTAACAAATCGAATATTGATAATCTGACTAAAGATATTTAGCAAATACATTTAGGTATCTCTTCAGCAGACCCAAATAAGGACCTAAAAAATCGCGATGAGAATAAATTCAAAAAATATACTTAAAAATTTATATTTTCTTTTACGAAAAAATTTTCAAGAGTAGGGTGAAAACAAACTTTAAATATGGACACCACAAAAATGAACAGAATGTCACATAACTCCGAACATTTATTTAGAGTGATAACACCCTTCTATAATTAAAATTGCAATACTCTAACTATTTCCGTTCGAAAGATAATGAATTTTAAATGTTTTCACAGTTTAACCTTTCGCCCCAGTCTCCCATATTTTCAAAAAATTTAAAGAAACTCGTCAATAAGAATTTAATTATTTATAAAAGCCCTAATAAAAATTTTGAAAGACATTTGTAGATTTATGTTCGAAGTCAAATAAATTTAAATTTTGTGAGAAAAAAAAACCGGGAAAAATTATGTCGAAGCCGGGAAAAAATCGGGAATTTTGTTGAACGAAAATAGTAGACACCCTGTACTTAATAATGAAATTAAAAAATGAATTTTAGTTTTAACTGTCCCAATCAGTAGAGTATAATAAATTTACTGTACTTTATAAAGGAAAATATTTTCTTGCGATTTTTTATTAAAAAAGAAAAAATTGCTTAGGCAAAAAAGATAAGAAAATTTAAACAGGGTTGCCACAAGTCAGGGAAATCAGGGAAAAGTCAGGGATTTTTACCAAAATTACTGGAAAAAATTGAATTTTAAAAATTCATAAGAAACCTCTGAATTTTTTTCCTTTTTGCCTCGTAAATTATGAAATTACCTCGAATTTTAATACAAAACCTTCAATTTTTTCAATTTCTGACAATAATTTATTTTTAAATAACTGAATTTTTCAAAAACTATCATAAAATTATGACTAACAAATTATTTTATAAATCATTTTTACAATTTTCATAAATACTAGATTGATAGAAGAAATTCAGTTAAAAATACCATAAAAAATTGGATTTTGGAAAAGTTATAAATGATTACAGAAATTCAATTATTTTCAAAAGTTACAAAAATTCTTCGCAAAATTTCAATTATGTTCAAAAATTAAAAAAAAATTCTCGTCAAAATTTCAATTATCTTTATAAATAATAAAATTCTTCATCGAAATTCAATTATTTTTAAAAATTTTAATAAAATTCTTGTCAAAATTCCACAGGAATTCAATTATTCAATATTTAATAAATTTCTTTGAAATAATTCAATTATTTTCATAAGTAATAAAATTTTCACAGGAATTCAATTATTTAAAATACAAAATTTCATAAAATTTTTCGAAAAATAACAATTATATAAAAAGATTTTTATAAAATATTTTCATGAATTCAATTATTTTTATAAATAATAAAATTCTTCATCGAAATTCAATTACTTTTATAAACTTGAATAAAATTCGTTGTAAAAATTCAATTATTTATATAAACTTGAATAAAATTCGTTGGAAGAATTAAATTATTTTCAAAATAATAAAATTCTTCGCAGAAATTCAATTATGTTCAAAGATTAAAAAAGAAATATTGTCAAAATTTTAATTATCTCTATAAATAATAAAATTCTTCATCAAAATTCAATTATATTTAAGAATTTTAATAAAATTTCTGTCAAAATTTCGTAGGAATTCAATTATTCAATTTTTAATAAATCAATTTAAAATAATTCCATTATTTTCATAAGTAATAAAATTTCCAATTAGAAAAAAATTTAAAAAAAATTTTCAATTAGTTAAAATACAAAATTTCATAAAATTTTTCGAAAATTATAAATTATTAAAAAAAATTTAACATAGTTCTTTTTAAGAATTCAATTATTTTTATAAATAATAAAATTCTTCACCGAAATTCAATTATTTTTATAAACTTGAATAAAATTCGTTGTAAGAATTCAATTATTTATATAAATAATAAAATTTTTCTCCGACATTCAATTATTTTATGAAAATTTTAATTATTTATTTAATTATTATTTTTATGAATTATTTTGTATACAATATTTTAATCAAATTCCTCGATAAATGAAATTATTCTTAATAATTTTATTAAAATTTGTCAAACGAATTCAATTATTTAAAATTTTATTGATAAAATTCTTTATGAGAATTTAATTTTAACAAACATTCAATTATTCAATAAATTATTTATTTTCTAATTTAAATAATTGAATTTTTTTAGAATTTTCTAATAAAAGTTGATTTAAAAATGAATAAACGAATAATCGATTTATCATTATTTTTAAAAATAATTGAATTATTGCAACGAATTTTATTACATTTTTTTGTGAAATTGTACTTCTTGTAAAAATAATTGAATTCTTGCAAAGGATTTTTTTTAGGATTTTTGTAAATAATTAACTTATTTTAAAAAATTTGATGGCAATTTAAATGATTACAAAACATGAAGAAGACGATCACTCCGGAGTGATCGTCTTCTTCATGTTTTGTAATAATATTCTTATAAGTTGTTGAATTTCAAAAAGGTTTAAATTTGAATATTTTGAAGAATTTTAATTCCTACAGAAAAATAATAATGATTAAATATTTATTTAAGAAAGAAGTTATTGATGTTTCTAAATAATTTTACAATTAAAGAAGTTTGTAAATAAATGTAATAGAACATTTTTTTTTCGTATCTAATAATTTTGAGAGTGAATGAGAATATTCTTTAGGGTCAGGGAAAAAGTGAAATTTTTTTCCGGAAATCAGAGAAAAGTCAGGGAAAAATAAAATTAAATATTTGTGGCAACCCTGTTAAAGTGAAAAATTAGTACATGTTTTCAAATTGTGATTTACTGCAAGTTTGACATTAAATTATAGAAAAAATACCAATTTTATTATTTGTTACTAAATAGAATTCGTTTTTCATTGTAATTTGCATAAATTTACTGAATTATATGTAAAAAAAATTGGAAAATTGACCTTTGATTGTAATTTATTCTATAAGTTCCAAAACAAAAATATTATTTTTCACAAATAGGACTCGATATCTCTGAGAAAATGATCGAATGTGCACGAATTCTAAATGCTGACGAAAAAGAACGGTTAAATTTTGAACAATTTGATATTGAAGCAGAAGATTTTCCAGTCGAATACAAGGAACGATTTGATCACGGTTTTTCCTTCTTTTGCCTTCATTGGATTGCAGATTTAAGGTATTTTTTCTGCTTTTTTTCGTCATTACAAAAAATATTTTTATATATAATAAAAATATTTCTTTTGTCTTCTTTTGAAAACTATATTGCAAAATATTTGTCTATTTTACTATAAAAATAAATATTTTTCTATTTATTTTTTTGTTCTGAATTCATTTACAGACTTGCTTTTGAAAATATTTATAAACTTTTAAAACCCGGAGGAACATTCTTAAGTCAAACTATTTTAGTGTTTAATGGCTACAATGGATATTTAAAACTATCTGAATCTGAAAAGTTTAAAGAATACATGAAGGTAATTTTATTAAAATAAATTTTATTAAAATAAATTTTATTAGAATAAAATTTATTAAAAAAAAATTATTTTTAATGTTTAAAAAAATTTTTTTGTAAGTTCAGTTTAAAATTATTAAATTTCAAAAAAAAAAAAATTGATTTCAGGATGCTAGGAGATTTGTAACTTCTCTTTATTTCGACAAAGATCCAAGAGCAGCTTTGATAGAAATTTTACAGGATATTGGTTTCCAAGTGTTACATTGCAGCGTACGGGAAAAAATAACAGGCTATAAATCACAACTTGACAGAAAAGGTGAATTTACAACTTTTTTTTTGAAATAATAAAGCAATTTTTCTTTTATTTCAATTAATTAGAATATTCTAATTTTTTTCTTGTGTAAAAAATCTGAAATAATTTTTTACATTCTCGTCATAAATGAGAAAGTTTAAGTTACATTTCTTTTTTTATTCATAAAAATACACATTTAAAAGTCAAAAATACTAATTTTTTTAGAACAAAATTTTCATTTATTTAAAAATTCTTGCAATGAAACAAATTTTTATATTCGAATATTAAAATTTGCAGAACTCTATACTTCTATTAATCCTTTCGTACCTCGAATGCCGGAAGATGTGAAGAATGATTTCATGGACAAATTAATGGAGGAAACTTTAAAGGAAGAAAATGTATTGTTTAGAAAAAATGACGATTCCTCCAATGAGGATAAAATATTTGATCTCTATAAATTAATTATGTTTTATATTAAAAAGCCGGAAAATGAGTTTTAATTTTATTATAATTTAATTTTGCAAACGTCAATCAAAAATTTTTAAAAGTTTAAGAAAACGAAATATTTTATTATATTTTTGAAAATTACTGACTTTTTCTGAACTCTGAAATGAACGGAATATATTTTTTAAAATAATTGACTTTGTCTTGAACTTTTAAATGAACGGAATAGTTTTTTTAAATATAAATATTGTTTGAAATTACGAAGAATGTAAATTTTTTGAAAATGAATTATTTTTTAATACTTGACATACAATGTTACTGTTGAAATATATATTATTAGAATTTAAAAAAGAAAGAAATCGATTTCGTTCATTTGAACATTTAAAACTTTATGGACATTACTCATGTGAAGAATATGTAAAAATAGATATGAACTTTATGTATTAAATATTGTATACAAGAGAATAATAAAAAATTATGAAAATTACAAATAAAGTTTTTTTATTTGAATTTTGTAAAATTTTCCTATTTTATTAATAAAACATATGCAGTTAACAATATATTTTTAGAAATTAATAATAAATAGTTTTATTTGTTTTTAACTGAAATTCATTTTTAAATAAATTTTTATTAGAAAATTCTAAGAGAATTAAATTATTTAAATATAAAAATAAATAATTTATTGAATAATTCAATGTTTCTTAAAATTTAAATTCTCATAATAACATTTTATGAACAAATTTTCAAATATTTGAATTCTTTTGACGAATTTTCATAGAATTACATTTTTTGAAAATAATTGAATCCCTGGTAAAAATTTTATTATTTATGAAAATAATTAAATGTTTGCGTAGAATTTTTTGAAAATTTTTTTGAAATAATTGAATTCTTTTGAAAAATTTTATTAAAATAGTAAATATTGAAAAATTATTGAATTGAGGATAATTTTTGAAAATAATTGAAATTTTGACAAGAATTTTGTTACAATTTTTAAAAATAATTGAATTTATGCGAAGAATTTTATTATTTTTGAAATTTGTTAGAAGTTTTATTTGATAGAATTTTAATCAGCAGAATATAAATTTGCGAGAAGTTTCTAATAATTTAATCGAATAACAATCAATTTATGGGTTACGTTTTTTCGTATTAGAATAATTTTAAGTTTACAGAATGGTAATTTATTGGAATCTTAATATGTCTCAGGGTTCTTATCTTTGGCCCCTTTTTTTGCTTTTTAATAATGACGTTTCGCAAAAATTAATATTCTCCTGATTAAAATTCAATCAAATAGAACTTTTAACAAATTTGCATTAAAGGCTATTCATACGTAAAGACATAAAGATCCTGCAAACAGTTATAAATATCAGATAATTCTGATTTTTGAATTACTCATTTTAAAGGTAAGTTTCAAATAATGACAATAATTTTACAAAATTTTAATCCTAATCATCATTTATTCAGTGTTAATAACAAAATTCTTTTTATGTTTGCCTCATAAACTATAAAATTGCCAATTCCTCCAAAAATGTAATTATTCTTAACAATTTAATTAAAATTTTTCGAAAGAATTAAATTATTTAAAAATTTATTAATAAACTTCTTTATCGGAATTCAATTCTAAGAAAAATTCAATTATTTATTTTTGAAATTAAATAATTGAATTTTTACATGTCAGAAAATTCATTGAAAAAATTCTTCATATTTGTCTGAATTTTTATTTGCATAAGAATAAATAAATTAATAAATAAATTTTATTTGATATAGAATTCTTAAAATATCGAAATATCATTTCACCGAATTTGTAAATAGCTGAATAATCATAAATAATTGTAATGAAAATATTTTATAATTTTTTAAAAGGAAAGTTAGAAAAGAAATTAAAATATTGCAATGGAACTAGCTAATGAATATTTAAAACACTCAAATGGCATTCAGTACCAAGTGATTACATCCTTATTGAGTGAATTTGAAAAAGATGTTAGTCAAATGAAGGGAACAATGATGGACATTGGATGTGGTCCTGGAAACAATACGAAGAATTTAATTTTACCAAAAGTGTCAAAAGATGCGGTTATGGTCGGTATGTATAATGCTATTTATTATTTTGAAAAATCGATCACTTCGAGTCTTCGACTCGGAGCAATCGGTGTCTTCATGTTTTATAATAATTAAAGATGACCGAGTGATAAAATCATTAATTTATATTAAAAGACTTTATAAAAAAATTTTTTAATTATTCTTTATGCAAATAATTGAATTATTGGGAAGAAATTTATAAAACATTAGTAGGCTCTAAATTTGAATTAGTAAAAATTTTTACTAATTAGAATTAGTGACTGACTTTTTGCTTTTGAATTAGTAAATTTTACTAAAAAATTAGTAGAAATAACCATTTATTAGTAAAATTTACTAATTCAAAAGCAAAAAGTCAGTCACTAATTCAAATTAGTAAACATTTTTACTAATTCAAATTTAGAGAGTAAGTAATTGAATTTTGCAGAAGAGTGTTGATATTTACAAAGATAATTGAAATTTTGAAGAGAATTTAAAAAAAATTTTTTTTTATTACTTTTGAAAATAATTGAATTCATGTGATTAATTTTATTAATTTTGGCAAATAATTGAATTTCTGTGGAGAATTTTATTAAAAGTTATGAAAATAATTGAATTCTTGCAAAGATTTTTATTAATATTTGAAAAAAAAATTATTTCCCGTAAAAAATTCAATTAAATTTTAAAAATAATTGAATTTTTGCGAAGAATTTTATTAAAATTCCTTAAAATAATTAAACTTCCGCGAAGAAAATTTTCTACTGAAAACAATTCAATTCTTATAATTAATTTAATTAAAATTTTTCAAAATAATTGAATTTCTTGAGAAGAATTTTAGTAATAATTGAAAATAATTGAATTCTTACGATAAATTTGATGAATTTTCGAAAATAATTGATGTCATGCGAAGAGTTCAATTATTTTTGGAAAATAATTCAATTCCTGTGAAGAATTTTATTAATTTATAAAAAAAAAATTACTGTCAAGAATTTAAAAGTTTTTAAAAATAATTGAATTCTTGTCAAGAATTTTATTAATTTTAAAAAATAATTGAATTCTTGTCAAGAATTTTATTAATTTTAAAAAATAATTGAATTCTTGTCAAGAATTTTATTAATTTTAAAAAATAATTGAATTCCTGTGAATAATTTTATTAATTTTGGCAGATAGTTGAATTTCTGGGTAAAATTTTTTTAAACGTTTTGAAAATAATTGAATTATTACAAATATTTTTATTAATATTTGAAAATAATTGAATTCTTAAGAAGAATTTTATTTCAAATTTGTGAAAATAATTGAATTTTTGCGAAGAATTTTATTACTTTTGAAAATAATTGAATTTCAGAGGAGAATTTTATTATTTATAAAGATAATTGAAACTTTGACAAGAAATTTATAAAAATTTTTGTTAAATAATTGAATTTCGGAGATGAATTTTATTATTTATAAAAATAATTGACATTTTAAAGAGAATTTTTAAAAAAATGTTAAAAATACCTAATTAAAATTTTGCTATGAATTTTATTTAATTTTTAAAAATTTTATTGCTCATTGTTTGATATTAATGTATCTGTTGTCGAGAAATGTGATTTTTTTTTACAATTTTGACAATTTCGTGTTTCCTTTTTGTCGTTTTTTCTAAAATTTCATGCGGCTTTTTTCCGACTTTTTTGGAAATTTTATGCGACTTTTTGTGACTTTTGTTGTATATTTATGCGACTAAAGCGACTTTTTTTGAGTCAGACGATATCCGAGCCCTGTTTTAATAAAATTCTTTTCAAAAATAATAATTAAATTTAAATTTATGAAAATATTTTCATTCCTGCGAAGAATTTTCTTATTTATGAAAATAATTGAATTCTTACGGAGGATTTTAAAATTCATAAAAATAATTGAATTGTTTCAAAAAATGTTATTTGAATTTTTGAAAATAATTGAATTTTTTGAAAGAAGTTTATTAAAAATTTTGAAAATAATTATTTTTTTAAAAAAGTTTTTAAAAAAATTATGTAATAATTTATATTTGATTTTCTTTGTAATTTGCATTTATTTACTCAATTATATGTAAAAATTGGAAAATTGATCTTTATTGAAATTTATTCTTTAAGTTTGAATTAGTGTTTCAAAACAAAAGTATTATTTTTACAAATAGGACTCGATATCTCAGAGAAAATGGTCAAATGTGCACGAACATTAAATGCTGACGAAAAAGAACGCTTAAGTTTTGAACAATTGGATATTGAAACAAATGATTTTCCAGTCGAATACAATGAACGATTTGATCACGGTTTTTCCTTCTTTTGTCTTCATTGGATTGCAGATTTAAGGTATTTTTTCTGCCTTTTTCGTAATTTAAAAAAATATTTATATATATTTTTATTTAAAAAGAAATATTTTTCGTCTTCTTTTGAAAATTAAAAATATATTTTTCTACATTTTTATTTTACTGTAAAAATAAATATTTTTCTATTTATTTGTTTTCTGAATTAATTTATAGACGTGCTTTTGGAAATATTTATAAACTTTTGAAACCCGGAGGAACACTCATAAGTCAACATATTTTATTATTTAATGGCTACAATGGATATTTAACACTATCTGAATCTGAAAAGTTCAAAAAATATATTGAATAAATTAATAAATATATATAAATATATATTTTTTTATTAATAAATATATATTGAAATTAAATTTTATTGTAAGTACAATTTAAAATTCTTGAATGTCAAAAAAAAATTTATTTTAGGATGCTAAGAGATTTGTAACTCCTCTTTATTTTGCCAAAGATCCAAGAGCATCTTTGATAAAAATTTTAGAAAATGTTGGTTTTCAAGTCTTACATTGCAGCATAAGGGAAAAAATAACTGGCTATAAATCTCAACTTGACAGAAAAGGTGAATTTACAATTTTTTTTTTTTGAAATAATAAAGCAATTTTTTTTTTATTTCAATTAGAATATCTCCCTTTTAATGAACATTAAAAAATTTTTTTTTTACATTCTCATCATAAATGACAAAGATTAAGTTACATTTCTTTTTTTATTGATAAAAATACATATTTAAAAGTAAAAAAATACCACTTTTTTTAAGAATAAAATTTTCATTTATTTAAAAATTTTGCAATGAAAGAAATTTCTACATTTGAATATTAAAATTTGTAGAACTTTTTGCTGCTGTCAATCCTTTCGTACCTCGAATGCCGGAAGATGTGAAGAATAATTTTATGGACAATTTAATGGAGGAAACTTTAAAAGAAGAAACTGTAATGTTTAGAAAAAGTGACGATTCTTCGAATGAGGAGAAAATATTTGATCTCTATAAATTAATTATGTTACATATTAAAAAGCCGGGAAGTGAGATTTAATAATTATAATTTAATGTTATTTAAGTCAATGAAAATTTTTTGAAAATTCAAAAGAACGAAGTAATTTATTACATTTTTAAAAAATAATGATTTTAACTTGACAGAAAAAGAATTCAATTATTTTCTAAAATTTTAATAAAATTGAATAATTAAATGTTTAATTTCAATTATATTATAACAAACAGAATTATTTTAAAAACCAGAAAGAAATAAATTGTTCATAAAAATCAATTATTTGGAAAATTTATAATTAAAATTATTAAAGGAACTTCATATTATTTAAAAGAAAAATTCAAAGAAATTCTTAAAAAAGAATTTAACATAGAATTTTTAAAAATTTAAACAAAATTCTTCTCGAGAATTCAATTATTTTCCTAAATAATAAAATTCTTCAATGAAATTCAGTTATTATCAAATTTTTTCATAAAATTCTTTGCAACACAATTCGATGATTTTCAATATACATTAATTTAAGAATTAAAAATATTTAAAATTTTTTTTCAGTGCAGAGAATATAAAAAATAATTATGCGACTATTTTTCTATGACGAGTATATATAATAAAAATTCATATAAAGTGTAATAAATAATAATTTGATATTTATTTATAAAAATTTATAATTTTGAGCAGTTCGTTAGACAAAGATCGTAACGGAAAAGAGAATCACGTATAAAGTATAACGTACGCATACAGTCAAAGGCAGGTGATTATGAAATGAATCTGCACCCGGGGTTCTTTGACTCCTGCTCCTCTCCATCAACAAAAGGGGACAAAACTTCACTCTATTCATTGTTCATTGTTGTTATTTACAACTGTTGAACATGAACAAGACAAAGTAAATTGTTTCTTAAAATACATTTTTTTTTCATTTTAAAATCAAATTTATACTCGTTAATTAAATTATGTGACAAATTTTTCCTTTCTTTGCATCTTCTGTGTATCTTTAATAAAATAATCCATTGTTTCTTTCTTTCTTTTTCTCTTTGTTTCTTTTTTTATTCTTCTTTCTTCTTTTCTACTTTTTTCTTTTTTACTTTTCTTTCTTCTTTTCTATTTTTTTCCTTTTTATTCTACTTTCTTCTTTTCTATTTATTTCAATTTTATTCTTTTTTCTTTGGGTTTTTTTTCCTTCTTTCGTTTTCTTCTTTTCCTTTAATTTTTTCCTTTTCTTTTCTTTTTGATTTTTTTAAAAAATTTTCTTTTTCCTTTTTTTGATTTTTCTTTTCTTTTTACTTTTTCTTTTATTTTTCTTGTTTTTTTTTGTTTTTTCTTCTCTTTCTTATTCTTTTCTCTTTTGTATTCGTTTTGCTTCTTTTTCATTTTTCTTTGTTTTTTCTTTTCTTTTTCTCTGTTCTTTTAGTTATGTTCCTTTATTATTTTTCTTTTACTTCTACTTCATTTTTTATTCTTTGTTCCTTCTTCTCTTTCTTTTATTTTTATTTTCATTTTGCTTCTTTTTTCATTTCTATTTTTCCTTTGTTTTACATTTTTATTTTTTCTTTGTTTTTCCTTTTCTTTCTTTTTATTCCTACTTTTACTTTTGTTCCTTTTTTATTTTTATTTTATTTTTACTTGTCTTTTTTATTTTTTTCTTCTCTTACTTTTTCTTCCTTCTTTTATTTTCCTTTCTTTCTTATTTTTTTTTCGTTTTTCTTCTTTCTTTATTTCTTTTATATTTTCTTTTTAATTCTGTTTTATTTTTTTATTTTTTTTCTTCTCGTTCATTTCTTTTTTATTTTTATTTCTTTTTTATTTTTATTTTCATTTTGCTTCTTTTTTTATTTTTCTTTTTTATTTTTTTTCTTTTCTTTCTTTTTCTTCCTTTTTTAAGTTTTGTTCCTTTTTATTTTTCTTTTTTTTACTTCTTTTTTTATTTTTTTTTGTTTTTTCTTCTCTTTTTCTTTCTCTTTTTTATCATCGTTTTACTTCTTTTTTAATTTTTATTTTTAATTTTCTCTTTTTTTTCCTTTTTTTAGTTTTGTTCCATTTTTATTTTCTTCTTGCTTCTTTTTCTATTTTTCTTTCTTTCCGTTTTTTTCTCCTTCTTTTTTTTTGTTTTTCTTCTCTTTCTTTCTTATTTTGCTTCTTTTTTCATTTTTCTTTGTTTATTCTTCTCTTTCTTTTTCTCTGTTCTTTTAGTTATGTTTCTTTATTATCTTTCTTTAATTTTTACTTCTTTATTTATTTTTTTGTTCCTTCTTCTCTTTCTTTTTCTTTACTTTTTTATATTTATTTTCATTTTGCTTCTTTATTTATTTTTATTTTTTCTTTTCTTTTATTTTTACTTCTTTATTTATTTTTTTGTTCCTTCTCCTCCTTCTTTTTTCACTCTTTTATTTTTGTTTTCGTTTTGCTTCTTTTTTTATTTTTTCTATGTTTTTCTTTTATTTCATTTTATTCCTCCTTTTACTTTTGTTCCTTTTTTATTTTCCTGTATTTTTACTTCTTTTTTTATTTTTTTCTTCTCTTTTTCTTCCATTTATTTTCCTTTCTTTCTTATTTTTATTTTTTTTTCTTTATTTATTTTTTTTCCTTCTCCTCTTTCTTTTTTTCACTTTTTTATTTTTGTTTTCGTTTTGCTTCTTTATTTTTTTATTTTTTCTATGTTTTTCTTTTATTTCATTTTATTCCTCCTTTTACTTTTGTTCCTTTTTTATTTTCCTTTATTTTTACTTGTCTTTTTTATTTTTTTCTTCTCTTACTTTTTCTTCCTTCTTTTATTTTCCTTTTTTCTTATTTTTATTTTCGTTTTTCTTCTCTTTTTATTTATCTTTTTTCTTTGTTTTTCTTTTACTTTTACTTCTATTTTATTTCTTTTCTTGGTTTTTCTTCTCGTTCATTTTCTTCCTTCTTTTATTTTCGTTTCTTTTTTATTTTTATTTTCATTTTGCTTCTTCTTTTACTGTATTTTTTTTCTTTTATTTCTTTTTCTTCCTTTTTTAAGTTTTGTTCCTTTTTATTTTTCTTTTTTTTACTTCTTTTTTTATTTTTTTTTGTTTTTTCTTCTCTTTTTCTTTCTTTTTTTATTGTCGTTTTACTCCTTTTTTATTTTTTTTATTTTCTTTATTTTTCTTCCTTCTTTTAGTTTTGTTCGTTTTTAATATTTTTTTCTCTTTGCTTCTCTTTTTATTTTTTTCCGTTTCTTTTTGTTTTTTCTTTATTTTTCTTTCTTCTTTTAGTTTTCTTTCTTTGTTTCTCTTTTCGAATACAGTCGATCCTAGATAAATAATGTCACTTTCTTACTTATATTTAAATAGTGTAAACTATTAAATTTTTTATATATTTACATCAGAATAAGTTGAAAGAAAAAATTGTTCAACTTAGCAAAAAAGCAAAAAAATGAAGTTTCGCCTTTCTTTTGGTTTGTTCTGCTTTTGAAAAATTTAACTCAAAGAAAAAAGTAACTGAAAGGAGTTTTTAAGATAATTCAGAAACGAGTAAAATTCTTGCGAGCTTTGTATACTATATATATGAATGTGGGTCATGTTTTCTTTTGTTAAATCGTATCGCAATGAAATCTTCATCTACATTCCTACTTATAAGAAAGGGTGTTTTAATGGCATCAAAAATTTTATTTCTTATTATTAAATTATTTATTTTGTAACTACAATTAATAAAAATTTAAAAAATTTTATTTTTCAAAATTAATGTATGAAATAATACTTAATCTCTAAATTTAAATTAGTAAAAACGTTTACTAATTATAATAAAAGTTAATATAATAAATTATAGTTATAATAAAAATTAATACAATTATATAGTTATAATAATATAATTACTATAATTATAAATAAAATTCATTATTATAATTCTAATTGCGATAACAATTTTATTTATTATATAATTAATTCATAAGAAAATTTACTATATATTTATAATAGTAATAAAAAAAATAATTTGAATAGAGTAGAACATTGTCTGAACTTGTTCCTTTAAAGAGAAATGATTTTTCTAAAAGAAAGTTTAGTTTAAAAGTTGTATATGCGGTAAAAGCTTGCCTGTAATTTAAGCATTATTTATTTCTTTGGCACGTTTCCTTCAATATATTTCCAACTAAAATGTTGCAAACTTTATAATTTGCAAATGTATTCCTTAAAAAATTTATATATATATATATAAAATTTGATCGCGGAGATATATATATATATATATATATAAAATTAAATTATTCACGATTTCTAACTTTTCCCCACAACCTTAATTGCCTTAAAATTATTTTACTGCGAATCGAATGTAACTTCTTCGTGTTGCAAGAAAGTTGTATATTATCGTTATATATATGAAAAATGACTGCACAACATTGGTTATAAATTTTCTGTTATCCACTGAAATTGAAGACAAAATTATATTTTGATACATGAAAACAAAAAAAAATAAATAAATAAGTAAACGAAATTTGAAGTTGAAAAATTTTCAATTTAAAACTTTTGTTCTTAATTATTTTTAAACATTTCTACTTAAAAAATTTTTTAAATTTAGCATCTTTTAGTCAATTATTGTTATAATATAGTTTTAAAAGTTCTTTGTGAATTATATATTGTTCAAGAAGAAGAGATTATTTATTTAAAATACGTTTGAAATTCAGATGTTTTAAATTTAATTTTACAAAATTTTGATTATTAAAAAATTTATTCCATTAAATGTATATTGAAAAATTTCAATAACTTAAAAATTCAACAAATTCTTAGCAAAAAAATAAATTTGAAATTTAATTATTTCTGAAAATTTCTATACTAAAAATCTATACCAAAGTTTAAAATTATAAAAATACTTTTTCTCTTAAGGGGATTTGAACCTTGATGACGTCACAGTTTGTGCAAAGCATTAGTTTTAAATCTGTGACGTCATCATGGTTCAAATGCCCTTAATATCTTTTTAACATGAAATTATTATTTTTTTTGTTAAACTTTTTTTGTTCGCAATTTTTTAAATCTTTTTTTGTAGTTTGTGACATTTCTTTAAATTTTTTAATCAAAATTTTTATTACATGATATACATTT